AGGATGGGGTTGGAGGTGTGGCACATGGGGCCATGGGATAGGCTTGGAGGTGTGGAGTAGGGATGGTGGCACAGGGTGGGGCTGGCGGCGTGGGCTGGGGACAGCATGGGGGGGGGTTGGTGCTGTGGGATGTCGTGGGAGCTGTTATTTTGCCCCCACCAGATCTGGCAGATGTTCTTCGAGGGGCGCTACCTCATCCTGCTCATGGGGGCCTTCTCCATCTACACTGGCTTCATCTACAACGAGTGCTTCAGCAAAGCCACCGTCATCTTCCCATCTGCCTGGAGCGTGGCCGCCATGGCCAACCACTCCTCCTGGAGGTGGGACCTCCCCACCCTGCTGTGACCCCTGCCCGGGTCCCTGCCTGCCCTGACACCTCCTCGCTCTGCCCACAGCTCTGACTACCTCGCCACCCACCCCTCCCTCACCCTCAACCCCAACGTCACCGGCGTCTTCCGAGGGCCCTACCCTTTTGGGATCGATCCAGTGAGTGTCCTGTGGAGGAGAAGATGGGGTGGGGACCCTTGGTGGGGTGGCCCGGGGTCTCACCCCACCTTTCTCCACGGCAGATCTGGAGCTTGGCCATCAACCACCTCAATTTCCTCAACTCCTTCAAGATGAAGATGTCCGTGGTGCTGGGCATCGTGCACATGGGCTTCGGCGTCCTGCTGGGGGCCTTCAACCACGTGTGAGTCCCCAGGGCTGCACCCGTGGGGACTCTGGCCACCCATGGGCACGCTGAGGAGACCCCTGGGCTGGACTCAGATGGGTGGGGGGTGGGCAAGTGGGGTCCTGCACCCCTTCATCAGGCTGGGAGTGTGCGTGGGGCCACCAAGCAAACCCCCAGCACAGGGATGTGGGGACACCGAGTGTCCCTTGGCATGGGGACACCAAGCAACCCCTGGCTTGAGGACATGGGGACACCAAGTGTCCCTTGGCACGAGGACATGGGGACACCAAGCAACCCCTGGCTTGAGGACATGGGGACACCAAGTGTCCCTTGGCACGAGGACATGGGGACACCAAGCAACCCCTGGCTTGAGGACATGGGGACACCAAGTGTCCCTTGGCACGAGGACATGGGGACACCAAGCAACCCCTGGCTTGAGGACATGGGGACACCAAGTGTCCCTTGGCACGAGGACATGGGGACACCAAGCAACCCCTGGCTTGAGGACATGGGGACACCAAGTGTCCCTTGGCACGAGGACATGGGGACACCAAGCAACCCCTGGCTTGAGGACATGGGGACACCAAGTGTCCCTTGGCACGAGGACATGGGGACACCAAGCAACCCCTGGCTTGAGGACATGGGGACACCAAGTGTCCCTTGGCACGAGGACATGGGGACACCAAGCAACCCCTGGCTTGAGGACATGGGGACACCAAGTGTCCCTTGGCACGAGGACATGGGGACACCAAGCAACCCCTGGCTTGAGGACATGGGGACACCAAGTGTCCCTTGGCACGAGGACATGGGGACACCAAGCAACCCCTGGCTTGAGGACATGGGGACACCAAGTGTCCCTTGGCACGAGGACATGGGGACCCTGGCTTGAGGACATGGGGACACCAAGTGGGACACCAAGCAACCCCTGGCACGAGGCTGAGCGTGGCTCCTGTCCCCCCCTCCCTGCCCAGGCACTTCCAGCAGTGGCACCGGCTGGTGCTGGAGCTCCTGCCCGAGATGATTTTCCTCCTGGCACTCTTCGGCTACCTCGTCTTCCTCATCTTCTTCAAGTGGCTCAAGTTCACGGCCGCCGACTCCATGGTGGCCCCCAGCATCCTCATCCACTTCATCGACATGTTCCTCTTCACCTCCAACCCCGACAACCTCCCGCTCTACCAGGGCCAGGTACCCTTGGCACGTGGGTGAGGGGATCC